TTTGCTGTTGTTGCCCAGGCTGGAGTGCAATGGCACGATCTCGGCTCACCACAACCTCCGCCTCCTGGGTTCATGCAATTCTCCGGCCTCAGCCTCCCGAGTAGCTGGGACTACAGGCATGCACCATCATGCCCAGCTAATTTTTGTATTTTTAGTAGAGACGAGGTTTCACCTTGTTGACCAGGATGGCCTCGATCTCTTGACCTCGTGATCCACCCGCCTCGGACTCCCAAAGTGCTGGGATTACAGGCTTGAACCACCACGCCTGGCCAGTACTTGCTTCTTAATGAAAAATCAAATAGTACCACAAAGGAAAAGGACTTTGTAGAATGCCCAGAAATAACTGCAATTGTTGTTAACATCATGATATATGTAGATGTGTATTTAGATTTTATGACAATGTAATGATTTTTTAAAATGTCTCTTTGTAATTTATTGTAAATAGGATATACACCTGACACCATCCACTGACTTCTATAAGAAATTAGCCTTGGACTGTTCTGGTCAGCAAGTAGCTGTTGACTTATTCCTTCTCAGTGGACAGTATTCTGATTTGGCTTCTCTGGGTAAGTTCTTCCTAATGATTTTTTTCTGTTAAATGAATATCAAAATTGTGCTTATATGATAGTGTTCTGAATACAGGATAAAGTTAAATAATTTTTATGCCTTTGGGAGAGTTAGTCAGTTTAGTCTATTAAAAACCTTATAGTCTTCTAGTCTAAACATTTAATAATAGAGAAATTTCCATACTACTATTTTAAAGGAATGCAGGGTACGATGGCTCATGCCTGTAATCCTAACAATTTGTGAGGCCTATGCAGGAGCATTACTTGAGGCCAGGAGTTTGAGACCAATCTGGTCAATATAGGAAGCCCCTATATTTACAAACAATTTTTTTTTTTTAAATAAAAAACTAGCCAGGCATGGTGGCACACACCTGTGGTCCTAGCTATTCGGAAGCCTGAGGTGGGAAGAGTGCTTGAGCTGGGAGGTCAAGGCTGCAGTGAGCTGTGGTATCACTACTGCACTCCAGCCTGGGTGACAGAATGAGACCCTGTCTCATAAAAATGAAATGAAATATCCTTCCTGACAGTAGTTTACCTAGGAAAGTTAAAGAAAGATTGATTCCAATGTCTGCAGTTACTTTGGTGTAGTAGAAGTCATTAATGGCACAGTTTAAAGCAGCATGTTTTCTCTTCCAGGTTGTATTTCTCGGTATTCAGCAGGTAGTGTCTATTACTATCCCTCTTACCATCATCAACACAACCCAGTCCAAGTACAGAAATTAGAGAAAGAACTACAGAGATACCTTACTCGGAAGATTGGCTTTGAAGCAGTCATGAGGATTCGGTGCACCAAAGGTAGGAATACGTATTTTTTTACATAGGAGTGAATAATATTTTTGGTACCAGTAAATATATGTGTTTTTATCTAGTCTTATAAGATTTGCCCTTCTGAGATACTTCACTGACTCTGGAATGTGCAATTAAGAGGAAAGAAGAAGCACTGTAACCAAAAAAGCGGGGGTGCCTACTGAGAATATACTCAAAAGCACTGACTTGTATATTTTTAAATGGAGAATTTTATGGTACATGAATTATTTCAGTTTTTTAAAAAGTCCTTATTTCTAGCTGGGCATAGTCACTCATGCCTGTAATTCCAGAACTTTGATGGATCGCTTGAGCCCAGGAATTAGAGACCAGCCTGAACAACATTGCAAAGCAATATGTCTACAAAAAATACAAAAATTTAGCTTAGCATGGTGGTGCACATATGTATTCCCAGTTTCTTAGGAGGCTGAAGTGGGAGGATTGCCTGGGCCTGGGAAGCAGAGGTTGCAGTGAGCAGAGATCACATCACTGCACTCCAGCCTGGGCAACAATGAGACCCTGTCTTTAAAAAAAAAAAATAGAAGGCCGGGCGCAGTGGCT